TATATATAGCGTGTGTGTAGATAAATTATATATATATATATATATATATTATGCATGTAAATTTTATATATATATATATTATATGTGTGTGGGTGCGAGTATGAACATATTTAATATATATATATATATATATATATATATATATATATAATTCATACACTCATACATACATTCTACGTACATTATGATTTGCATCAAACTGCGAGAAGATTGCTATATGCCTTGAGGCTCATATTTGGAGACTTTAATTATAAAGCTGTGTCGGGAATGCTGTATATCGTGTATTCAAAGTGGATTGCTTATGTTTTAGTCTTATTATTACGAGGCAATAGACGTGGTTTATAGTAACTAGTGATACTTTAGTTGCTGTTGTTTATGATTCGATTTATACGGCCTGTTACTGAGATGAATCAAAGTGATTGTTTCTATATTCAGCCGTATCCTTCATTAATACAAATATCGTGGAGTATGTGCTTGCAATGGAGATCATCGGGTGCTCATCGTCCATTGCCAATTATATGTCATCTATTTCTTTCTTGAACCGTATACTTATTGTCGTATTTATGTAAATATCAATACACAGCTGTGAGAAAATTTTCAAAGATTCATATTGGGAACACTGATTGTATCTATCGTTGCATTTGTTATATCTCTAATAACAGCGCCATACCAGTGTATAAAAAAATTCGGCGGATGTAGGGGATCTTTTAAATGGTTTTTAAGCTATATGATTGTATTAAGTATATATTCATACACATGTGATAGTTACACGCGGTACCGGTGATCACCGTCTCCGACATGTTTGTTGCATTGTATGTATACATGTGTTTGCAAGTCCATTAATTTCTACTAGCATCTCGGTGAAATTAACACCTCATCCTTTTTTGAATTATTCTCAACGAGTGTATCACCGTCCGCCTCTGCACATTGTCGCGCAATTCATTGTTATGCAGTATTCCAATTATATCCACTCCTTCAATTTCAACGTACTCGCTACCGCACATACAAACGTAAACCCATCAATATTTCTCATCGCCCGGTTGCACGTTGTCTACAGTGAATTCATGCACATATACGTGCATTCATCGAATGGTATACCTATCCTCGCGTTTGTATGATCCTCTAGAGCGAATCGATACGCACATACCTGTTTCCATTGCTAGTCATTTTTCTATCCTCGGATTTGTACATTGTTTATACCGAACGCTTGTACACCTATGTATATCCATCAATAATCATAAAATCTATTCCCTTCTTTGACTGATGACTACAGCGAATCCATACCCATCAGAGAACGTGGTAGACGCCCGTGTGTGGTAGTGGATGTGTGTGATGAGGCCATCTACGCACTACACTTCACACGCACACCCGACATGGGCGATGTCTTGGTGTGCGGCACAAACACGCTTATCCACGCGCTGAGATGGGATGCACTCTTAGACCTGGCACAGCAACACCACAGTCAGGTCCATGTGAACAAAGCTCCCAATACAGAGAAAGATGTAAGCACACACAAAGAGAGAGAGACTCCACCACATACAGCTGGCCAGACAGCACATACTGATACAGGAACGTGCGTAAGGTCGCATGCGTGTGCATATCCAGTGTTGGAGGAGGTGTTAGCATTCTCTTTGCGCTCACCGAGCCATTTTATGTACATAGGGGGGGTGGAGACCAATGCACTTGCCAGCAGTGAAGGCGTGCTGTATGCTGCCTGCGGTGATAGCTGCGTACATGCGTGGAGTCTGGAGACCAGGAATTTCTTGCACAGCTTCGAGGGACATGACGGTATGCCGGTGTTTACAGTCTTCTATATGATCGCATACATATTCCACACACCTCCAAACCGTTTGCCCAACAATAATAGGTATTGTTATATAGTTCAATTTCTACTTCTGAGACTTGAAAACTTATGTCGATCCAAGTATGCTTTTTGTTTTTTAATAATTGAGTATCCGTATTGGAAATGCACATGTAGACTATGTCCAGTGTATATCGGTGCGCCAAAATGGAGAGATCATCAGCGGCGCCGAAGACGGGGTGGTGAAGTTCTGGGACAGCAACTCACAAGTAAGCTCACTTTGCTGGTTGTTTTTACATTCATCTTTACATACGCTCGACTGCCTGTTGAAATATGGGTTGGAACCATATTGACATATTCAGTTCTGCTCACAGGAATGCCTGAATACTCTGTCACCGGAGACGATGAGTCTGAAGCAGAAGAAGAGTGGCACGTCTCAGGCACCCTCACAGAAAGCGGGCAGTGGGGCAAGCGCACCGTCAAAAAAGTAGGTACAACTATTAATGTGCATTCACACTTAGAACGGTATACATGTGATATTCACCCCCTGTACTATATGTCTTATGCTGGTGTGTACTACTGGTATATTCGGTAGAGTAAGCAACCGATACAGTACCAAAGGTCAATGACGTATTCGGCATGACGCGGGGACACTGTTCAATGGAGAAGTAAACTGCATTCGTAAGCGAAGTTGTAAGGAGTGCATGTATCTTGATTTAACCTACAGAATGTACATGATAATAATCTATTTCGTGTTTTCTTGTTCCATCTTGCACAAGTCGTTCTCTAAGTATGCGAGATGATATGCAAGGTGTGCTGGTCTGAAAGCCATTTTGAAGACGCGAATGAAGGTGAAATATACTTTCTCTGGAACATGCGTCGAAGGCAGTAGTCCAAGCCCGCGAACTCATCGTGCTATTCACTGTTGTCTTTGCATGTACTTAGCTGGTTCATTATGCTTAAGTGCCTTTACATCCTTGCATTAGGCATAGCTATTCTCCGTGCTGGCTACTCACCCCCAGCGGTAGTCTGCATTGATAACCCGTACGGGATACTGTTATGACACAGACTCTGGGACGTATACTAGTCTTGCGCTGAAACCATATGAATACACCATGTATAATTGACTTCTAATGATCCGCAACTTACCAACAGAACTAGAGGCCGCAAAGCCAAAACCGCGGCTAAGAGCGAAGATAAGGTGCAAGAAACACTCACCTTCATACCTTGCTTAGAAATTGATCAAACCGATAATTGGCTGGTATGAGACAAGCATATATATGTATTGTGATTTTACGTGTATTACAGATCGATAGATCGATAGGTAGGTGTTATGGATTTACGTATATGAAACAGCGTGAGTATCACATCTGTCATGAGCACAAAATGAGTATCCAGGCTATCTTAGCTGATAATAGAATTGCTGGGAGATGTTCGCAGATTCAAATATCTTTCAACTTAGGACAACAATCGTGTACACAAGATCGTATTTATATTAATACAAGTGTTCTCGGTAAGACACATGTGCGCGTATGTATTGTTTGTCGCCAGGTCAGATATCAGACTGGTACTAGATATTTGTGGCATGAACGGCAAAAACTACGTATTTGGATACTCATGAGCTCGCCTAAAGCCTCACAGTCTATAAACACCCCCCAAAAGAGTACGAAAGATGTAACAATGATATTTGTATCTCAGAATTCTGGCGAACACGATGAATATATATA